ATTAAAAAGATTTGGCCAAGCTCTTTCAGTCATTTCTCTGAGTTTGTAGGCCCAGTGGTAGTGCCTGCTGGCCACGGGTTCACTGCTCTGTCAGCAACTCCTAATAGGCCAGACAAACTCACTACACCTAGCACGCTGCTTTGATGGTAATTATTCCTGCATGGCATCCTGTTAGGTAGAAACTGAATGCTGGTGCCACACTGGTCATTGATATCAATGTGAAATGCTGCACTGATGATGTTTATAACTATAACCACTTGAGATAGCGATCTTGGAGTCATTGTGGATAGTTCTCTGAAAACAGCCACTCAATGTGCAGCAGCAGTCAAAACAGCAAACAGGACGTTAGGAATCATTAAAAAGCGATAGAGAATAAGACAGAATATTTTATTGCCTCTGTATAAATCCATGGAATGCCCACATCTTGAATACTGCGGACAGATGTGGCCGCCATGTTTCAGAAAAGATATACTGGGATTGGAAAAGGTTCAGAAAAGGGCAACAAAAATGGTTATGGGTTTGGAACAGGTCCCATATTAAGAGAGATTAAAAAAGATTTGGACTTTTCATTTTAGAAAAGAGAAGACTAAGGGGGCAGGAGAATGATAGAGGTCTATGAAATCAGGACTGGTGTGGAAAAAGTGAATAAAGAAGAGTTATTTACTCTCTCATATAACACAGGAACTAGGGGTCATCAAATGAAATTAATAGGCAGCAGGTTTAAAATAAACAGAAGTTTTTCTTCACACAGCACAGTCAATCTGTGGAACTTCTTGCTAAAGGATGTTGTGAAGACCAAGACTTTAACAGGGTTTAAAAAAGAGCTAGATAAATTCATGGATGTTAGGTTCATCAATGGCTATTAGCCGGGATGGGCAGGGATGGTGTCCCTGGCTTCTGTTTGTCAGAGGCTGGAAATGGATGACAGAAGAGGAAGCACTTGATGATTACGTGTTCTATTCACTCCCTCTGGAGTATCTGGCATTGGCCACAGTTGGCAGACAGAATACTGGGCTAGATGGACCTTTGGTCATACTCAGTACAGCCGTTCTTATGTTCTTATATTTAAAAAGTTATGTACTGAAAATGTATCTTGAGAGTCTGTATCAAAGGTACAGGTTCTCTCAGCACAGGGTGTTTCTACAGCGGGCTAATTTACAGGTAAATAAAGTGTTGTATTACACTGACAATAAAGTGTTGTATCAAAAGGGGTCTCCTGTCACTGGTTAGAGCCAAATGCTAAAGATCAGAGACCTGAAGTCAACAGGCACCAGAGAAATAACAGGCCCATCTTTTCAAGAAATTCTGTTTGGTCTGTATTACTTACTTGTTCCCAGGATTAATTACCATGCCACTTACACCACCCCGCTAGCATTTCACTGTAGACACTCCCTGCAGCCATGCAAGGGTCTCCCAGGGCTGTAGTACAGGGGTTCTCAAACTTCACTGCCCCAGCTGACAACAAAAAATTATTACATGACCCCAGGAAGGGGACTCACCGCCCAGGATGGGAGGGGGACAAAGTCTGAGCCCCACTGATCCGAGGGAGGGGGGAAAAGCTGAAGCCCAAGGGCTTCAACCCAAGGCTTTGGCCCTGCGCAGTGCGGCTGAAGCTTTAGCCCCAGGCCCCAGCAAGTCTAAGTCAGCCCTGGCGACCCCTCTAAAATTGGCCGTGACCAATATTTCCACTAATCTTCGCAATCCCTGTGTGATGTGCAATGCATTTTTCCTGTGCACCGAGGCATGCGCACATGTGCAGCACCAGCAGAAACTAAAATCCTAGCTCTGCTCATCAGCTGGGCGGCATTTGAATCTCCCCTGCATGGACACACAAGTGCACAGCTTACGGGCAACACAGGCTGTGACCCAGTTTGGGGTCCTGGCTCACTGCTGTAGCTAATCCACCTGCCCAAGAGGCTAGTAGCTAGGTCGGTGGAAGAGTCTGTCCATTGACCTGGTGCTGTCTACATGAAGGGTGGGGGGAGGTTGGCATAGCTATCTCTCACAGGGGCGTAGATTTTTCACGCCCCTGACAGATATAGCTATGACTGTAAGTTTTCAATAGAAACTCTGGGGACAAATGAATGACTTTGGGGGAAAATAAGGGGAAGGCAAGAGGACAC